ACACACACACACACACACACACACACACACACACACACACATACACACACATACACACACATACACACACATACACACACACACTCACTCACTGGGTGGCTCCAGACTCCTGTGTGTCTGTGTAGAGGCCAGACTCGCCCTCGCCCTCCTCCTCTCCGGTGCTCACAATGGCCGGGACGAAGGACCAGGCCCACGACATCCAGCCTTCATCTTCATCCTCGCCCTGGAAGTACTGACCCGTCAGAGCCGGATCGGACGCGTCCATCAGACCTGCGGCACACGATGAGATCAGCTGCTGTCAGCGCACTGGAATGAGTGTAATCTCACTGCGAGCGTCTTCTCACAGACACTCTGACACGCTTTAATTAAATCTCTCACTCAGCCTCTGTTTCTCTGTTTCTCTCCTGAGAATCTTCGAGACACACGTGACAGTCTCCAGAGCAATAAACGAATGGAGAGAGACAGAAGGACTGTCATAACCACAGGTGCTCAGTTCATCTGATCCAGCGAGTCGACAGCCTCAGAAACAAACCCATTCAAGAGAATGAGACACTCACCAGAGACGCTCTCTCGAAGCGAGCCGCTCTCCTCCTTCTCTGCGTCTCGATGGACGCCCATCTCTCCGTAATACAGCGCGACACCCAGCTCCATCAGCCGGATGAACATGGGCAGCTGCTGGTCCGTCAGAGAGAGCTTCAGACTCTCCACTAGAGATGTTCCAATACCCTTTTTCCCTTCCCGATACCTGGGCTCAGGGTATTGGCCGATACCGAGTACTGATCCGATACCTGGGTGTGTATCTGTATATACAGCTGTATGTACTACTAGGCCTGTATGAATTGATATAATTATTTTATTGTGTGCTTTAGACTTATTCCTTAAAAAAAACATGAACAAATACATACAGTGAACTAGAGTATTTTTATTATCTGACATACATATCACAGTAATATTATTTATTTTTCTTAAGTGAAAAAGAACTTCAAATGCAGCCACAAATCTAGCACTGTAAACTGAAAAGGGTATTTTAGTTTTACAATATAACTGTATGAAAAACAGTGCAACAAGTAAATCTAAGAATATAAAAAAAGTAAATATGAATAATATAAGATAATAATCTCTTTAAAACTTAAAGTCCAGAAACAATTTTGTTAAATAAAAGGCATTTCAGTTTTAAATACAAAAGTACAAAAAAGTGCAACAGTAACTTATACTCAATCTTAGTTCTTTAAAAAAAAACACTAATTGCAGCCACAATGAAGTGGAATAAGAGACTTGAGTAATAGAGTACAAAAATAAACCTCAACTGAACAAGTTAAGATTCAACAAGAGCACTATTAAACCCAGAATGAAAATATACATATTTCAAGTAACTTAAACTAGGTTACACACTGCTGTGGGAACTTAGTAATGCGCACAATTTCAATAACAATGGCAAGTTCTTTTTCAGGAAAATGAGCATGTCTGCTCTCTCTCCTCCTAGCCTGTTTCTCTTTGCATCCACAATGTTAGATGCTGTGCTGAACAGTCTCTCGCTGTCCACACTGGTACCAGGTGCGCAGAGAAACTTTGCAGCAGTGGCAGCCAGAGTGGGAAACTGAACTTGGTTGACTGCCCAGTACTGGAATGGGCTGTCTTGAGTGTGAGATAGTTTGCTCCATCACATATGTCTGAAGTTGAACATGTGTGCTTGTAGTACCTGCACCATTTCCTCCTCATCATGCTCCTGCAGGATTTCCTCAAACAGGCCCTTCAAGCTACTCTCACTGCAGCTGCTGCCGCCTACCTGCACTTCCAATCGTGCAGTTTTCTTGGGGTTTTTTGCTATTGTCTCTGCTACAGCTGTGGTGGTCATTTCCAGTGACTTCTCAATCTTCTCCATCTCTACTGTCAGAGCATCCTTTGCATGCTTGATGTTGTCTGCACTTGAGAAGTATCTGAAATAAACAATAATTAAAAACAATAAATAAATGTAACAAATAACCTCCTCCAAAGTAGCCTTTGGTGTGGTCACAGACTTAATGCATCAGTAATTATTAAATTATTAGGTGCAAAAAGTGAACTAATATACTCAATGTGGCAGTGACAATAATCAATATGGACATGAAGAAAAATTTTAATAGAAATACCTGTCTTTGAAACGTGGATCCAAGAGAGTTGCAACTGCATACAAGGGATCTTCCTCGATGGTTGCGAATCGTTTCTTGACGGCCTCAAGAAGGGTAGTTTTCATTGTTTTCATACCGGTGTCCTCCTGGCTCTCCCGAGCACGTAGCCGTTTTAGAACTGTAACTGAGGGGATGACTTCCGCTACAGACGAGGTGGAGGAGCTAATCTGTTTGGTCAGTTTCTCAAATGGTGCCAAAAAAGTGACCGTTTTTTCCAGCAAAGCCCACTGGTTGGCTGTCAATGTGGCTGGCAGGTCGTGATCAGCTCTGTATGCTGAAATCGGCCTCTTCTGCTCAAGTAAACTCTCTACCATATAAAAAGTACTATTCCACCTTGTTAATTTTGACATTAATTTTCATTTTTACACCAGACATATATATCGGTTCAAAATATCGGTTATCGGTCTACTTGATCTGTAATAATCGGTATCGGCATCGGCCTTGAAAAACACATATCGGTCGACCCCTATTTGAAATGGCTGATTATCTTCCTACAGTTCGCCAGAGCATCACTCACACTTCTCTGTGATAACAGGCCTTCGTGTACCACCAGTTGGAGAGAGTGTGCGAAGCACCCCAAACTCGACACACCCATCTCGTCCATGGCTTTTTTTCATGTTGCTCGCGTTGTCGCGCAAATTAACATGATCACGGGACTTAGAGATATTTCACTTCATAAGCATCCCCTCAATTGCTTCAGCTATGGACTTGCCGGTGTGTGACCCACGAAACTTGTTAGCTTGCAGCACTGCACTTTGAAGAGTAAAAGATGACGGCGTCACTGTGTCCACCCAGTGTGCTGTCAAACTTAGTAAAGACAGCGGGGTCGCGTCACAGCTCCAGATGTCGGTAGTAAAGCTGATTGATTGCACATCTTTTAGTTTACATGAAATGTGTTCACGCACTGTCTCATATAGCTTAGGAAGCGCTGTTTCAGAGATGTATTTGCGACCAGGCAAACTGTACCGGGGCTCCAACTGCTCCACTGACAGTGGCTGGTCATCCAGAACAATAAACTCGATAATTTTGTCGGTTATCTTTGTCGCTCGTTGGCTGTCTTGTGAAAACTTTTCTCTTCGTTTGAATGAAGCTTCCAAAGTTTGTTGAGTCTGGCACGGCTCATCCTTCTCTGCCCTAGCTTTTGTGTAACCATCGTGTTCTACGGGGTGACGCATCTTCAAATGCTTTATTAAGTTACTCGTGTTAAAGTTGCTAATACTTGTGCCACCCCTAGAAATTGCAGTATGGCATATGAGACATGTCGCCGTTTTACTGGCTGGTTGGTCCAGTCTGAAATACTGCCAAACCGCGGACATAATGCTAGCACGTTTGTATTTCTTCTTCACTGCTCTAAATAGTGGTTGCTTGTGGCAACACAGCACAACTTCCTGTGTTTGTATTCTGAAGGCTCGGTCCCACAGATCGTCCACCGTGTAGCACTCCGCAGACGTGATGTTGACCGACAACACGATGTCATCTTCCACATACTTCAGAATCCGATTATTGACCACGATTCACCACTCGCTGAATCAGGCTCTGCACGTACCCTACAGACAGCAGGAGGAACAAATTAAACGCTTGGAGGTTTACTACTTTACCTTGACACAAGCAAAGATGTCCATCTGGGACTGACGCACATAGAGACAGAGCACATTTAGGCCACGCCCACACCGGGGGGAAAACAATCCAACGCTCTCCATTGACTTTGTATTACGGAAATGTTTCCTTGTCATTTCTGACTTATAACAAAAATCAGAACGATGTCTACAAGCTGCTGTGTGACAAGGTGTACAGCAAACAAGCCAAAAAACGTTAGGTTACTTGCGTAACCCCGGTTCTCTGAGAACAGAGCGAGGTATCTCACTATGGGAAACGCCCAAGCGTGATAGACTATGGAAGCACCAATTACACCACGTCTGTCCGAAGGACGGACCAATCACAGCTCATGACAAGGAGTCCACCCCCTCCCTATACATACAGCTGTGATCCACGAAAATGGCATTCTAAGCACGCTCTTTCGCTCTGTTCTCAGAGAACCGGGGTTACGCAAGTAACCTAACGTTCTCTTTCAAACAATCGCTTGGTATCTCACTATGGGAATGATATAGCCAACTCCCGAAACGCATGTTTTCCAAAGCCGAACGAATAGACCCGGCAAGAACAAAAGATAACCTTTCAATTCTCCAAAGAGCCAACATTGAGAACTGCATGAGCCATAGAAGGCGCAGAGACATCTAGACGGTAAAATCTGATAAATGTATGAGGGGAAGCCCAGCTTGCCGCTGCACAAATACTGTATCTCCTACCGAAATCCCCTTGAACAATGCCCACGAGGTAGCCATACCCCTTGTTGAATGAGCCCTTAATCCTGCTGGGGAATGAAGACCCATAGATGTATAGGCCCATTCAATCGCCTCCACCATCCAATGGGAAAGGCGCTGTGAGGAGATCAGCTTACCCTTACATTGAGTGGCCCATGAAACGAATAACTGATCATTCTTCCTGAACGATCGTGTCCTGTTTACATAATAGCGTAACGCTCGCACAGGACACAAAGTGTGCAATTTCCTCTCCTCCTCCGAAGAAAAAGGAGGGGGGTAAAAGGCACGCAACTCCAAAGCAGAGCAGTTATAGGCTAAATCACTGACTTTGGGAACGAAAGCCGGGTTAGGCAGTAGGGTTGTGACGGTAAGGAAATTTTCCCACCGGTTAATCGACGTGTGATAACACCGGTAATACCGGTATCACTGCGGGGGCGTTCCCTCTTTTCCTCGCTTTCCTTTGCTTTTAAATAGCTTGTAAAAGCGGCGTGCACATTTTACT